GCACCAGCACCACACCCCGAGTGCCCAGTTTTTGAGAAGATGCCTGAAGATTACATTGAAAATGCCCCCACAAACACCCCTGTAGAAGGAAGTCTTGTATTGGAAAGATAAAGCTTGTCTAACTTCATTCCCACCCCCACCCACCGCGTATTTGGTCCAATAAAAGATATTGTCCTCACCATGTAATTTCTGGAGCATCACAGCTCCCTGTTGCCAGCAGTCCCTCAATTTGAAGATGATCTCTACCACAGTTCATGGATGGGTCTTGAGGTGACTTTTGAACCCAATCCTTGAGCCACATGCACATCTACAGAAGTTACAGGCCCTTCTGCAGGGGAGAGGATGCTGTAGGCTTGGATTTCTCACTTCTTCCTTCTTCCCTTCTCTTTTCTCGGCTTCGGGGTGAGATGCTTTACCTTGAAACAAGTTGCCATTTGGTTGAGGTTGTGACACCATTGGGGTTGGTCAACACCCAGCTCCTCCCAGCTCTTGATGTCAGTATCTGTTTTCTTGAGGTTTGGCCTTCAATATCTCCTTGCATTGGCACCTCCTAGGTGGGGGTCTGAGAGCCCTGAGCCTTGAAAAGAGGCTAGGGTGATCACCCATCCCTAATTAGGTGGGACAGTCCCAAAATGGGAACATCAAGTCCCAGTCCCGGGCTACATGGCTCTGGGACTGCATTTGTCTCAGATTCCCAGTATTGTGTGGGGATCCAGGTTTTCCATTCACTACAAAAAAGTTGGGAAACAGCGGGTTTCCCCTTGCAGGCTGGCAGAGTTCCAGCCTGCAAGGGGCTGCAGGGAGCAGGACACAGGGGGTGCCATATCACAGGTGACTGGTAGGGGGGGCACGGGGAGGGGGGCATGTGCCCCCCTTGAGATTGGCCCCTGACTTGGCATCACTCAGGACCAGGCAGTTTTTTGCCAGATGGGCCAGTGGCATGTTGTGGGGTGCGGGGCACTAAGCCACAGCACAGAAGTATAGGAGTGGATATGGGGGTTTTGGTCCACCTCCGGGCCCACCCCCGGGCCCGCTTACAGGCAGCTCATCCAGGGGTGGAGGGGCCAGCTCCCTGCTGCTGCACACACTCCTGGGGAAGGGGGAAATGGAGTGGCACATGCCCCCCCCAGATTTGCGCCCAGGGCAAGGGAGGATGTGAGCTGCCCACTGTGGGCTCAGGGATCCCTACCCTGCTGCCTTGCCCCCTTGAGCCCCTCACTGGTCATGCTGCCATGGTGAGGTATCCCCTGCCCTCTTGACAACAGCAGGGATGCTGCCAGGTTGCCAGGGGGTGCCTCGCCATGGCAGCATGGCCTGTGCAGGGCTCCTGGGGAGATGCAGCAAGGCAGAGAGCCCTGAGCCCACAGCAGGCAGCATGCATCTGCCCCCACCCCTCCCATAGGCTCTACTCAGCTGTGCTGTGTCCATGCTGTGGGCAGGGGGTGGGGCGCATCATCTTACGCCTATAGAATCATAGAATCAATGGGTCGGAAGGGACCTAGACAGGTCATCTAGTCCGACCCCCTGCCATGGGCAGGAAGGAGCACTGGGGGTGGCAGG